GGACTATGCGCATGAGGAGCCGTGTGCAGCACGCTCTTGTCCCATCATTGGTCCAGGCTCCCGCCAGTGCAGCCTAGCCGTCGCACTGTTTTGACCAATGTTTTTGCTGCGCCAAGGCTCCGCCAACGCAGTGCGTATGCCGCCGCTCCATGCAGCTGACTGCCGAGGCACTCGCGGCTGCTGCCATGACCCCGGTGCCCACCCCTTTCTCAGCGGCACGGACGTGGCCACCGGCGACAATTATAACTATGTGCGCAAATGTCTTGCCATGGCGCTCAAGGACATCCTTGGCATAGCGCGGCGCCGCACGACTACTCACGACGCCGAGGGGCTTGATTTCAGAGGCCAAGAGCAGCTCGGCCCGTACGATCGCCCGATCACTGGACACAACGCGATGATTTCGAGGCCCATGCTGACGCTGCTACGGTCACCAAGGGCTATTGAGCACACGACTCATCACGACCACCGTCCGATACACGATTCCGCCTGGCCCAGCCCCATCATGTAAATCCATTGTTGCCATCGGAATGCACTGTCTCTCATGCGGCTCCCGACTGGCCACATGCGATGAACAAACGCATCGCGCATGACGGCGCTCGACACAAGCACTCCTGGTAAAGTGCCCAGCGATGGGAGGGGCAGCTTGCGCATTTTCGAGTCGGACGCGAAGCGGCGCTCCATATTCGGCGCCATCCGGCCGCTCAGGCGCGCCAATCGGAACAGCAACGCATTAGCTCCGTGTTTATTTAGTATATCCGTTCCTTGTATTTCGACCAAATGTCTTACGCCGCACCGATGACCCCTTGGTGCTTTTCGGGGTTCTCAGACTGGATCCGAAAAGGTTTCGCCAAATATCATCGCCCACTGGCCCGCGCACGCAAGCAAAGTACTCGATAGAGCAGCAGGTTGAGGAACGCTTTCGATGCGCTTTCTACCCCCACGGAGCGGGGGCTAGGGGTGATATGGATTTCGGGGCATGGCAAGCGCGTTGGTGTAGACGTCCGCCTGCGTTGATGCGGCGTTCGAGCTGGTTACGGCACAAGCTCGCCTAAACCAAACCAAGGTTCTCGGTCACGTGGAGCTCTTGGGGGCCTTGGCGTCGAAGATGTGGCCATCATTGGGTCGTTTGGGGGTGGGAGCCTTGACGTGGAAGGTGAGTCCGTCACTGGGCCGTCTTAGGGCCCTGGAGGTGGGTCTCCTCAGGTACTAGTTGCGGCATGTCGCGGATCTCTTAGCTGCGTTTTGGTCCGCCCGGGGCGCTTCTGGATGTTTCGGCGCAGTCTGGGCCTATTGTGCTGTCTTGGGGCCCTCGTTGGCCGCGTTCGGGTTCTCTTGGGCTGTCTTGGGGGCATCTGGGGTCGTCTTGCGGCCCTCATGATCGTGATCGCGGGGCCTAAGAACAAGGCTGTCGCCGCGTGGAATTCCAGGGGGCCTTGGTGTCGAACGCGTGTCTGTCACTGGGCCGTCTGCGGGGGTTAGTTTGTGCGGCCATACTTGTACACTCTTACTGGTCGCGCAGCAACGCAGGACTGGTTGGTGATAGCTTAATGCTATTAGCTGCCGACCACTTCGACCGGACGCTGACATGTTTGCCTTGTCGCCATGGCACGCTATTGCAAACTTCTTGCTCGAGCCACTATGCCTATCGTGCGCGCGGTTTTTGTTTCTTTGACAAGGGCTACGTTACGTCGCTTGCCAGTCACAGTATCAGCGTACTGGCACGGTATCGTGTAACACGGGGGTCGCACATACGCCAGCTGCTCCCTGACCCGAGATCGACTCCCACCACCGAGCTGGATTGCCATCCTAGTGACCACAAGCGTCCCTTCACATATCAGTCGTGTACCTACCGCTACAAGACGTTTGCCAAGGATGATAAGCAGTTGGTGTGCCCCCCTTCTCTTCTCTTCTCTTCCCCCTTTTTTGACGGTTGCGGCCACGCCCTCTCGCCCGCTCGGCCCGGTTCACTGTCGGTTCCCGGCTGCGGCCATTGCGTGAAGCCACCTGTGAGCGAAGGGGTGCAACCCTGCATGGTGGGTAGGTTCCAAGTCCAACAGATCCATCATCATTCCTTCTCCGAGTTCTTGCTGGCTTCTACTGCCAGCCCAGCGGAGTTCTACGCCGACGCTTTCGCTTCGACGTCGGACATATAATATCACCGCCACCATCACGTGCCTGGATCCTACCTCGCCGCTGACTCCGAGCCCGTCCTCGTGCCCATCAGCGGCGGCTCGTGTACATGGCGAGCTCTCACGCGCTCTGAGGCCAGACGCCGCCGCGCGCCCGGGGCCCAACCGCCATAGTTGGTGATGCCTGGACGCTCGACTCCTCCCTCCTCCTCCCTCCCTTCTCCCTGGTCTCCTTTCTTCCTCCTTCCCTCCTTTCTTTTCTTGCTTCCTGCCCCCAGCCTGTGCGCTCCTCTCCCCGTTCTCTCTCTCCCACCTTCCCCCTTGTCCCTCATCCTCCCCCCTTCGTGCTTGCACCCTTCTGTCTCTCCCCTCCTTCCTCGTGCGTCCTGCATCTCCGCTCCGGCCTCTTCCGTCCAGCCTCATAATTCTCCCTGTCTCTTCCGTCTTTCCTGTCTCCTCCATCGCGTTGATTCTCAATGTTTCGCTATCCTCCTCCTCTTCCTCCTCTTCATCTCTGCTTCCTCTCGTTCTTCCCCGTCCATTCTTTTCCTAGCAGGTATCCCTTCCAGGTCGCACCCCCCAGACGTGTCGGCAGACCGGGTTGGTCGTTCTGCCTAATTGATCATCACCGTTTCTGATCCTGAATTTTGATCTACTTTCGACAGGTACATTGATCAAACACATGGTATTTACAAGGTCGAGCGCTTACTTCGATTTTATCCGGCTATTCACTTGCAGAGACGGGGACGGGGAGGGGGACATTTTCAAAATGGAGCTCTCGTCTCAGCGCCGACGCGCGCGTCCGACATATTCGCCTCAGCTACAACGATTGATGTCGGCTTCAGTGCAATATGAGGCTCGCGCCGCAGTGTTTCGCGCGTTCGTCGTCTCAAGGGCTCTCAGCTGCTGCAGGGCTGCGGGTGGCTCCTTCTCAAAATGGGGCGTTCGTTTGGAACTTCCTCGGGGCTTTGGACCACTTCTGTGAACTTGTACACCACCCACACATTTTGGGACAGCTGGTTGTTGCAAACGGCAATCCTGCTGGACGCGTCGTTGCATTATGTGATCATAGTTTAGAGAGCGCCTGACTACACGCCAGAAGGATGCAATCCAGTGTTTTTATTATAATAATATTTATTACACACATATATATATATATATATATATATATATATATATGTAAACGGATTTTCGCCTGAACGGCAGGCCGAACAAATCCTAGCGAAACCGAAACCTCGTCTGTACTCGTGATGAAGCAGCGTTTTCGTACGGGAGGGTGTGTTGCAGCGAACATTTTGAGTTCTTACGATCCCCCCTGTCGTCGTCCTCCTCTTCCTCCTGGGTCCAGGACTGGTGCCGTAGAGCCCCGCGTTGGCCGGGGCTTGGGCGGCTTCTTGGCCAGTCCTGGACTCAGCGGGGTCCTGGCCGGTGTGGGCAGTGCGTTGCTGGCGGCCTCGGGCCCAGATCGCTTGAGCGACGGGGGCTGCAAGGGTGGCGGACAGCCCAGGGGGGGCCCTTTTGGGGCTTCAATCCCCCAGCTGCCCGACGATGCTCGAGAGCGAACGTGTCCAGTGCCCATGCCAGGCCATTCGCCCCTGCTCCACTGAGTGCCCCGCGCCAGCCTCCGGGAGCAAGGAAGGTGCAGTTCCCACCACCAGGCCTCCGCAGGCCTGCTTCCGTTTCAGATTTGGCCTCCTGGCGTGACCAGGGACCGGCATCCACCAAGATTTGGGCCAACACTGGATCTTTTTTTTTTTCAGCATGCTTCGGAATCGTAAACACTCGGAGGTCGGAAGTCTCAACCTGCGGCAGGAACCTACAGGCCAATGTGGCTGGGGACAGCAGCCCGCCTCGTGGTTCGGGGCAGGCAGCGCGGTCCGGCGGAAGGGGGCGAAGAGGGGAGAAGCAGGCAGACGACGACGAACGCTGATGAGTGTGTCCTCCCTCCCGATTGAGTGACCAGCGGCGCGGGGAACCCCGGCCTCTAGCAGACCGCACTCTGCGCCTCCGCATGGGGGCCTGGCGGCGAGAAAGTCGGCCCTCCGTCGCGTGCTGCGGCCAGGAAGAGACACAGTCGTGACGACAAGGAGGCCAACAGTAGAGGGGCGCCGAGGCGAGGATGCGGACGATGATGATGCTGCTGATGACGATGGTGGTGGTGGTGATGATGACGATGATGATGGTGATGATTATGCTGCTGATGACGATGATGATGGTGTTGTTGGTGGTGATGATGCTGATGCTCTTGTTGCCGATGACGATGACGATGACGATGATGATGACGATGATGATGAGGACGATGATGCTGATGCTGATGATGCTGATAATTATGATGGTGACGGTGACGATGCTGCTCCTGTTGATGATGATGCTGATGATCATGCTGATGGTGGTGATGATGATGACGATGATGATGATGCCGATGATGATCATGAGGATCATATGATGATGCTGATGCTGCTGATGATGCTGATGATGAGGCTGCTGGTGCTGATGATGCTGCTGCTGACGATGCTGATGCTGATGATGTTGCTGATGATGCTGATTCTGATGATGATGCCGATGATGCTGATGCTGCTGATGCTGATGCTGATGCTGATGCTGATGCTGATGATGATGCTGATGATGATGATGATGATGATGATGATGGTGATGATGATGATGATGATGATGATGATGATGATGATGATGATGATGATGATGATGATGATGATGATGATGATGTCGATGATGATGATGATGATGATGATGATGATGATGATGATGATGATGATGATGATGATGATGATGATGATGATGATGATGATGATGATGATGATGATGATGATGATGATGATGATGATGATGATGATGATGATGATGATGATGATGATGATGATGATGATGATGATGATGATGAGATGATGATGATGATGATGATGATGATGATGATGATGATGATGATGATGATGATGATGATGATGGTGATGATGGTGGTGGTGGTGGTGGTGGTGATGATGATGATGATGATGATGCTGATGGTGATGATGATGATGATGATGATGATGATGATGATGATGATGATGATGATGATGATGATGATGATGATGATGATGATGATGATGATGATGATGATGCTGATGCTGATGCTGATGCTGATGCTGATGAGGATGATGATGAGGATGCTGAGGATGATGATGAGGATGAGGAGGATGATGAGGATGAAAAAGGAAGAGTATGAAAAAAGGACGAGCAGGAGGAGGAGGAGGAGGAGGAGGAGGAGGAGGAGGAGGAGGAGGAGGAGCTTTCGCGGGCCAGGGGGAATCAGGAGGAGCGGGAGGCGGAGGCGGAGGCGGAGGAGGAGGAGGAGGAGGAGGAGGAGGAGGAGGAGGAGGAGGAGGAGGAGAGGAGGAGGAGGAGGAGGAGGAGGGAGGAGGAGGAGGAGGAGGAGGAGGAGGAGGAGGAGGAGGAGGAGGAGGAGGAGCTTAGATGGATGGAGGAGGGAGGGGAGGGAGGCACAGGGGATGGGTGGGTGGGTGGGTGAGGGAGTTGAATGCGATGGAGACAGGAGATCACTGGCCATCTTGGACGCTCTCAATACCGAACGTGTGAGCGCACATGGGAGCATGTCTCACCAACCTTCAGACACAAGGCGCATTTCCCAACCATTTTGTGGTGTTGGGTCCTCGTTTTGAAGAGAAAGCGCCCCGCGTTCCCCTCCTCCTCCTCCTCCTCCTCCTCCTCTCCTCCTCCTCCTCCTCCTCCTCCTCCTCTCCTCCCCCTCCCCTTCCCTCCTCACATCTGCCCCTGTCCCTCCCCCCCGCACAGCACAGCGTTTCGTTGCCCCAAAGGGGGCTCCACCTAAGGCCCGAGTTGGCCGTGTCCACATGCGTCTCCCCCACCCAGCACAGCGTTTCGTGGCCCCAATGGGGAACTCCGCCTGGGCCCCCAGTGGCGGTGTCCACATGCGCCCCCGCCACCCAACACAGCGTTTCGTGGCCGCATAGGGGGGGGGGGCTCCACCTGAGGCCACAGTGGCGGTGTCCACATGCGTCTCCCCCGCTCAGCACAGCGTCTCGTGGCCGCAAATTTGGGGCTCCACCTGAGGCCCCAGTGGTCGTGTCCACATGCGTCTTCCCCACACACCACAGCGTTTCGGCCACATAGGGAGCTCCACCTGAGGCCCCAGTGACGGTGTCCACATGCGTCTCCCCCGCCCAGCTCAGCGTTTCGTGGCCCCACATGGAGCTCCACCTAAGGCACCAGTGATGGTTTCCACATGCGTTTCTCCCTCCCAGCACAGTGTTCCGTGGCCCCATCGAGTGCTCCACCTGAGGTACCAGTGGCAGTGTCGAAATGCGTTCCCCCCACCCAGCACAGCGCTTCGTGACCCCATAGGGAGCTCACCTAAGGCCCCAGTGGCGGTGCCCACATGCGTCTCCCCTGCTCAGCAAAGCGTTTCGTGGCCCCATCGAGAGCTCCCCCTGAGGCCCAGTGGCGGTGTCCACATACGTCTCCCCCACCCAGCGCAACGTTTCGTGGCCCCATAGGGAACTCCACCGAAGGCCCCAGTGACAAAACTCGTATGCGTCTCCACCACCCCTGTAGGGAGTTCCACCTGAAGTCCCGCTGCGGTGTCCACACGCGTCTCCCTCACTCAGCAAAGCGTTGGCCCAGTGGGGGTGTCCACATGTGTCTCCCCAACCGAGCACAGCGTTTCGTGGCTCCATTGAGAGCTCCACCTGAGGTCCACTGACGGTGTCCACACGCGTCTCCCCCATCCAGCACAGCGTTTCGTGGCCCCACAGGCAGCTCCACCTACGGCACCAGTGATGGTTTCCACATGCGTTTCCCCCACCCAACACAGTGTCTCGTGGTCCCATAGGAAACTCCACCTAAGGTACCATTGGCACTGTCGAAATGCGTCCCCCCTTCCAGCGCAGCGTTTCGTGGCCCCATAGGGAGCTCCACCTAAGGCCCCAGTGACGGTGTCTACATGCTAACTCACCCAGCACAGCGTTTCGTGGCCCACAGAGCTCCACCTAAGGCCCCCCCAGTGGCGGTGTCCACATGCGTCCCTCCATTCAGCACACCGATGTATGGCCCCACAAGTTCTTCCTAAGGCCCCAGTGGCGGTGTCCACATGCGTCTCCCCCACCCAACACAGCGTTTCGTGGCCCCATTTGGAGCTCCACCTAAGGCACCAGGTGCAAAGCTCGCATGCGCCCCCCCCACCCGGCAAAGTGTTCCGTGGCCCCATGAGGAACTCCACCGAAGGCGATACCCACAATTGCGGTATTCACAGCTGCATATGCTTGGGCCCCGCGCCAGGTTAAATTGTTAGTTCCAACGCAATGAATTTGGCCTCTTAACTGTGCCCCGAGACGCCCCAAGACGATCGAAGAGATCTCCAAAAGTGCCCCGGGTCGGCCCCATGATGCCATTTTAGGGCATTTTGGAAGTTTGGAGTTTGGACTGCGCCCTCTTTGGGTTTCCCTCCTCCTCCTCCTCCTCCTCCTCCTCCTCCTCCTCCTCTTCCTCCTCTTCCTCCACCTCCTCTTGGGTTTTTTTCGAGGTATCTTTGAGGCCCGTTGGGGGCTTCGGGGGTCTCTGGTGGCATCTTGATCGCCTCATGGGGGTCTGGAGACGGTTTCGGAGCTCATCCTGGGGTGGAGGGCCCCTAAGTGCCCTTTGGGGCTCCCCCTTGATGCGACCCCCTTGGGGACCCCCTTGGGGCCTTCTTGGGGATCTCTTAAGCCCCTCTTGGGGGCTTGGGGTAGTCTTCGCGATCTTGGGCGTCTCGAGGGCCCTCTTGCACGCTCCCGAGACCCGGAGGGCGAGTGCACAGAACTCCTGCAGGAGCGGCAGTGGTTTCGGTGATTTTTTGTCCTCCTGGGCCGGCCCCCCCGAGGGCCGCAGAGGTGGCACAAGAGGCCCAGGACGGCCAGGGCGGCGCATGAGAGATTACATTAGGGCATGGAGGAGGAGGAGGAGGAGGAGGAGGAGGAGGAGGAGGAGGAGGAGGAGTAGGAGGAGGAGGAGGAGGAGGAGACTGAACGCTTGGAGGAGGAGGAGAGTGGACGCTTGTCATTCAGAACCGCACTCCCGAAGGCTCAGAAAAGTTGTTGGGAAGTCTGTGTCTTATTCAGGCTCTTGTTGGGTGGTGTGTCAGTTCGGCCTTGTTCATGGGCACATGCAGTGGAGACGCTTTTTGGATGGCAGCCTGTGCTCGGCTGTTTGTCACGCCCTTTTGGAACATTTGTGCGGGCAGAAGTGGTTTGCAAATGCGCACCTTCACAAGCATCTTCTCTGCAAGGGCGTGGTTGCGATAGTAGACAGATGGCACAGTGTGTAGGTGGTACTTCAGTGCCAATAGGGCGCTTGTGGCTGCGTGTCTCGTGCGCAGGTTGTTGTGCGGGGATGGCTTGCCTGTGCCATTGCTTGCGCTGTGCAGTGCAAACATGGAGGCTTTGGGGAGTTGCCGCCTTGTTTTGGGCCTTTATCTGGCACGGTGCACCATCGTCGCGTGACATGTTGGCAGGTGCCACTGTCAAGTTGTCTGTCTCTCCATGTTGCTGGCCGTGCATAGAGAATAACCTCTTCCTTCCTCTCCTCCTCGCATTTTGTAACAAGTTGGTGACGGCAAACCGCCGTACGGCCGCGGCAAGCGCTGGCAGAAGGCGCCGGAAGAGACCCCGAAGCACCTTGATAAAAGGTTGGACAAACTCACGGAGTGCGCCTGACACGTGTTCATGGTCGTATTTCAGTGTTTCTCTTGCCAACCGCCAACCGCATCTCCCTCTTTGAACCCATTTCTGCTCGCTTCCCGGCTCTTTTGCCGAAATCGACGCGACGTTGCGCCTCCAGTGGCGCGAGCGCCGAGAGTTTGTGATTCATGCTTTCCACATCAGCAGGTGCATTTCGTTTGCTGCTGGGCTTCTTGTCTCTTGCAGCCCTCTTTTCGCGAATGATTTTGACTTGTTACCGCTCATCCTCTATCTCAGGGAGTCGCCTGGCGGCGTCTGGCTACCTTTTTTCAACCTCTGCCCCTGAGAACGTGCGGCGGCATCACGGCCGTTTGACGCTGCAAGGCGGTCCTCGCAAATTGTGGTTG